TAAAGGAACGGGAACCTTTCTCAGTGCGAGTAAAATATTTTTGGGACGTAACGTTGAGCAAAGATTTATTGGGCGAAAAATTCGCTAAGCAACTCTCTCACGAACCTGACGGATTGATATTTCAGCCCGCCAAGGAAAAATATTGTGCGGGAGTATCCCCGGAAGTTTTAAAATGGAAACCGCAATCGTTGAATTCTGTCGACTTTCGACTCAAAATCGTTACGGAAACAGGCGTAGGAATACTGCCGCGAAAAGTCGGGCATCTTTATGTAGGCGGACTGAAGACGCCGTATGGCGTGCTTCCAAAGCTTACTAAGCAACTCAAAGAGTTGGACAATGCAATTGTCGAGTGTAAATTCGACAATGGTCAATGGATCTTCATGCGCCAACGAGTGGACAAATCATTTCCTAATTCACGTAATACCGCCGATTCTGTGTACAAAAGTATCAACAAGCCGGTTACAAAAGAGCGACTTTTGGAATTTATCGAGAAATATAGATTTATACAGGATGATTCGGATCTTATGCCACCACCGAACAAAAGACCTAGATAATTTTAGATGTTTGTAAAGCTCTTTTCTCTCTTGTATTTATGTAATGAGATTTTAATCGTATAAGGATCGCGTAATTTTTATGTCTTAAATAGATTGTTTACATATGGACAAAATAAAGCATGATAATAATCTATATTTATTTAAAATATAGATATTTTTTTTCAATTCGTAAAGGATCTCGACTTGATTTTAAATTTCATATTGTATGTTTTAGAATATTAATCGAATTAAAGTGATTTGTTTTCAAGAATGTTAATATGTATTGATTGAAAATAACAGTTTACATATATTTTCTTTATTGAAAAAAATAGGGAATAAAGATAAAAAATAATTCAGAAGAGTAATGGAATGCGCTTGTTAGATCCTGATATCTGATTTGTGATTATGAAATATATATATATATATATATATATATATATATATATATATAAAATTCTACTTTAAAAATATGTTTTTACTGAAATATTTCAATTTGATTCAAGATACAACTTTGTAATGTAATATTCTGATGAATTAAAATCAATATTGTTAATAATCAATATTGTTGAATAAAAAAGCTTTGCAATACTGTTACTTTATAATTATTTATCCTATGTACATTTTTTTATATCCTTCATTATCTAATTAATTATAGGAAGAATTATATTAGAATAATAAGAAAGTACACCGATTATACTTTTGCGATATCAATTTTTCTATGGAATTTCTGAAAAATTCTAGCTATAGATAAATTTTAGCGTTATAATTATAATTGTCAGATAATTCTAAAAATTTTTTTGTTAAAATAAACTTATTTTGCATCTGTTCTGTATTCCAGATCGCACTGTGCTATTGTGGTACACGAAGGATTTCACGTCGAAAAATCGTAAATCTTTGCGCATTAATATAGAATTTGATCACGCAACTTTGATACGCTGGTCCCCGGATGGAAAGGCATTCATTATTCACAAAGCCATGGCTAATACTATCGAGGTGTATAAGATCGCAAAGAAATCTGACGGTTATTTTGCGTCTGCAACCAAGGCGCTGGAATTTCCGCGGGTATATTATAATATTACTTGTTTCATTCATTGTTATATTTCATTGGTAAAATTTTTTTATAATAAAATAATGCGAATAAATGTAAATGTATCGTATACTGTTTTAATCGCTAAAAATTTAATTACTCTGTAGTATAAATCCGTTATCTTGTATTTATGTATGTGCATACTGTTATATCAATTTTTTTTATCTTTAGCGTCACACCGAAGACGTCGTCGGAATGGATATTGCATCCACTGGAAAGTACATCATCACGTGTAGTACAGCAAACGATCTTATTATATGGGATTTGAAAGGACAACCATTGGCAACTGTGGAGATGCATCTGGGATCTACTCATCGTGCGCGTATATCACCCTGTGGTCGATTTGTTGCTGCCTCTGGTAAAGATACAAATTTCGCTGCAAGATAAATGAATGAATTTCGTTAGTACAAGTTGAGGTATACAAAGTTATATTAATGAAATTGTATATTGCAAGGCTTTACACCGGAAGTGAAAGTGTGGGAAGTGGTGTTCGGCAAATCCGGAGAATTTAAACAGGTGGTAAAAGCGTTCGATCTCGCTGGGCACACATCCGGGGTTTATGACTTCGCTTTCAGCGCTGACACCAGTCGTATGGCCACCGTGTCCAAGGACGGGACGTATCGTTTCTACGACATAAAAAGTAGCGTACAGTATTATTTATTCATGAAACCATGGAATTTGAACAAAGTGGAGTACAACAAAGTTTCTCTTTTTAGTCGAATTTGAAAAGGGGGAAGATCCACACCTCTTGATGACTGGAACCTGGGACAATACAACTGCGGCAAGCTTGGCTTTATCTCCGAATGCGGAAGTCCTGGTGATCGCGCACGGATTGTCTATATCCTTTTATTCTACCATTACCGGTATTTTGGACACCACTATACAAGACATTTTTGCCGGTAATTATATCACCTATCGATTTTCGTATGTGATATTCGTTTAGAGAACTCGATAAACTCTTATTATTCTTACAGAATCTATAACATGTTTGGCTTTTGATGCTATGGGAGAATATTTATTAGTTGCTGGTGATAAGCACATCAAGATTTTTCGTAATGTCACAGGATATCGGACCGCAATAGAATCTGCTAAGCGCACACTGAAACAGAGGCAGACTCAGGCAACTAAAGAACGCCTGGAAAAGATGATTCGCGACAATAAGGAATTGCTCGAAAAGATGGGAGAAAAATGTCCAGAATAACTTGCTCCCTTGTCTCGTTCTATGTAGGAGAATGCCAAAATTGATTAAAGATAAAATTATATTCTTGAAAGAAAATATAAAAAAGAGATGAAAGGTTTAATGCTTTCTATATCATGTAACCTATATTGATATATGAATATTTATCTATTTTCTGCAAATAAAAATAATTTTCATATGCATGAATATAACTTTAAATCGGTTTAATTCTTATTATCATCTAAAAACTTTCAAAATTTACATAGATTTATAAAAAAATTTTAAGAGATTTATATAAAAAATATGTATAATACCTAACACTTATGTAAATTTTGAAGAGTTATAGACGATATTGACACAAAAAAAACTTCATTTAATTTTCTCTTTTTGCTCCATTCTATCTATGTACCATGTATTCTTTATATTCCAGAATTCACATTCCAATATAATGATACAATATAGTGATACCATGAACGTAATATACATGGACTTCGAATGCTTTGTTTTGCTATCTAATTGAGTGAAGCAAACATCTAGAAAGAGAGCGAGAATAGAGGGGGATCTCATTTTCTCTTTTTGTAATTCGTTCATAGAAAGAGACAAAGAACAGAGGGATTAAATTATCTGTTTCTCTTTATATATTGGCTTCACTTTTTTGGTCATGTGTGGAGTCCATGTATATTACGTACATGAGTGATACAATAAAACAAAATAAATACAATAAAATTGTATGTATTTTCTAAAAAGATTTTTTACGTAAAGAGAGAAACAGAGAGATTCTAATATACTTTTTTATATATTACAACTAAAATGTAATAAATGTAATGTCATAAAATATAATTAAAAAATTCTCTCTTTTTCAATTTTTTATATTTATTATAGATTTTATTGAATAGGAAGATACCAAGTTTGAATTGACTGAAAAAATTAAATATTCATTAACTTGAATAATAAATTCTAAAAATTATTTGAATAAGTACAATTAAAATGATTGTTTGAAATTAATGGAAGTCACAATAGTGGGTGCGCATCATAGAAATTGTCATGTTACAGATATTGTTTGAAACGAGATGTTTATTGTTACTCTTATATTTTTGACTACCATGTGTGCCCAAGGAGATAATTACAATTTTCATTAGATTTGTATAACAATGATACAGAGAATTGGAACTGTTCACGCATTTTGATACTCTGGTATCTTTTTTTTTCAATAAAAATGGCCTCTTCTAACAAACTACAAAAAGTTTTTTTCATATAATATAGATAACTATGTACAAAATAGTATCCTTGGCATCATGAGTTGCAAATTATAAACTTGGGCAATGGAACGTGCGATTACGCATGATCGTTCACGTTCGAGAACACATTTTTATTTAATTTTCGAACACAAATATCTAACACATTCGGTGAAAATACACGTAATATCTAATTTAAGGGATATTCTATAATCCTATGTGTGATTTTATTAAATTTCTATTAGATTAAGCTATTCAAAGTATTTCACAAATTTAAATTATTTTAAAATTATACATATTTTCTTGTTTGAGAAAATATCGAAAATAATTTGTATTGCTGCATAGTAAAAAATGTATCTGTCATTTTCAAATAATTGATAAATTTTGTTGCTCTTGGATAGTTTATTTCGATATAATGTTATTTAACGAATGCTGCTAATACTATAAAATCAGCACTAATAAAATAATATAGAATTCAAAATACAAATGCAAGAATAGATATCCTAGAAACCAAATATTGGTGTAATTTATCATCGGTATCACATTTAATGCATTAGATTATATTGTTTATTGTGCTAAATTATACATTATACAAGATTAGTTTAAAAAAAGTACCAATTTGCAATATATTTTTTTATTGCAAAATATATTTAAAGAATGATGAAAGACCCGACAACAAAAATGTAATGTAAATAATATAATATTAATTATTATAACTTAAGTTTAAAGCATGCAAAACAGCTCTAAAAACATATTCCTATACATAAGAATTTCATTTCAAAAATTACTTTATATTCACGTAATAACAATGCGAATGGAATATCTATTGTTTTTTGAATTATTTTAAATAATAAAAATGATTAATATTTGGCATTTAATGGCAGATGTTGATATTATATTTTGCAATCATATTTTGAAACTCAACTTTTGTATATATATATATATATATATATATATATATATCTCCATTTAACGAAAGATAATTTAACAATGATAAATGTTGTTATGCATGATTTTTAGTGCTTCTCTTATTACTAATTAAAGATGCCATCACACATTATCATTGAGTGAAAAAAGTTATAAAATGTAGTCTTCTTTTGATAGTTTCATGTAGCATAAATTTTTTGTTAGTTTTTTCTTTGCTTTTTTTTTTTACATGTCATATGCACATGCACATACACGTGAAAGTAAAAAATAAGATCAAACTTTTATTCGTGTCAGTGCATACTATAATAAATAGATGTGCTTTTATTTCTTCTCTTTGTCCATTTCGGTAATCTCCTTTTTGACAGAAATTTTATTGTCAGATTTCTTATCTTTGTCCATGTCTGTGGGTTCCTTTTTCACTTGAACTTTGTTATCTCCCCACCTCGTATCAGTTTTAAATTTGTTTTCCATCTCTGAACCATTTATTTCACTGCCAACTTTTTCATCTTGAATTTCTACTATCTCTACCTTTCTTGTATCATTTTGCATCATTTTTGCTGCTATGTGATATATATTTTTTACTGCAGTTAGATAACTGTGGCAATCGGTCTGTAAACACAATAAAATAATATTGTAATTCTATTTTCTTGTGAATTGGGATGTATAATAAAAAACCAATATACTTACAGAAACCTTCTTGAGCTTTTCTTCTGTGCTTCGCAATTTATCTTTGTACATTTTTAGATCTTCCGAAAGACTTTTAATATTATTGGTTTGTTTTATGGATTTTTCATTGACTATAGTTAGTTCATGTTGAATTTCCATCATGCGATTTTCAGTGTCTAAACGTGCTTTCTCAGATCTTTTCAATTGACCAACGAGTTTTTCTACATCCAATAAGGAGCCTTTGTATAAAACAATACCTTCTGGAATAGTTTCTTCATCATTTTTTTCCAAGATGCAGTCTTCTCTTCGCGCCCTTTTTGAAGGCGGTCCGCTTCCAACAAATACAGGTAATAATTTTTTATTTCCTACAAATATATATATGGCTTAATAATTTGCATATTAATTGGCATATTATATTGTAATAATGTTTTATGTTAATAAAAAATGCATTACCGAGGGCAAGTGAACGTAATATATCTTCCTCATTCTCAGCTTTGGCCGATTCACCTCTATCGTTTTCCTTATCGTCTTTCTTCTCATCCTTTAAATCATCTTCTTTCGATTTATCTGTTAATTTGCGATAATGTAAAGAATCTCTTGTAACAACCTTTTGTACGAGTTTTCGTACTTGAGCTCTTGATAAATTCAATCCTAGAGTGTAAATAAGTTCTTCTATGTCTTTATCAAATATATATCCGCAATGTGTCTGATCAAAATACACAAATGATAGCAGAAGATAAGGATCGTATGTGTATAGTTTTGTTTTTCTTTTCTTTCCATCTTTGTCTCTGTCCCTTCTACCATCTTTCACAGAATCGTCATCCTGTACAAGTAATTACATAACATGTCATAAAATAATAATTTTTATACAAAATATATAATAAAATATATAAAAGATAAATTTTTACATCAGACTCATCTTCTTCATCTTCCTCTTCATCATCATTTTTATCCTTTTCTTTGTCTTTGTCATCTATTTTACTTCTTGCGTCTTTATCATCTTTCTTATCTTTGGCTTCTTCTCTCTTCATGTCGCGTTTTTCATCTTTCTTATTAGATTTCTTCTCATCTTCTTTCCTTTTATCATCTTTCTTATCATCTCTCTTATCATCCTTCTTATCTTTCTTCTTATCTTCATCTTTCTCTTTAACTTTTTCGGGGAGACTGGACAACGCACGATAGATGCGGAAGCCGAAATCTCGCATCAACATTTCATTGAACAGTTCAGCAAAGAGAGATACTTCAAAAGAATGCTCCTATGTGTAATAAATTTATATATTAATTATTATTCTTAAAATAAACAAAAATAATAACAAATATAATCTTAAATAGAAGGAAAACCTTGGTATCTTCTGGTCTATAGTCCAATAATACGCTTAAAGACATAACTGTGCAGTCGAATTTCCCACTCTTGGCCATTCTAGACGGATGAACGATAATATGCGATGAATCAGGCAACGTATACCTCTTCTCAAGTACAGCACGTTCACGTTCATAGAGCTTTCTCTTATCTTCATCATGCTAAATAAATGAATATTAAAAATCTCAGATATTTTCAAGACATAATTTAACACAAAATACTTGTAATAATAATAATAAAAATAAATATAATTTATAATTCTGCAAATATATCTAATATTTTTGTTTACATCTTTGCCATCTCTGAATTTTTTATCGTCCTCTTCCTTTGATGGCGGCGAGACAGCCTCTTCATTGTCATCTTCATCTTGCCGACCTTCCTCTTTGGCCTGTTCCGACTTTACAGCTTTCAAAAGTCTTGCTAGCAATTGTGACTTTAAGCCTTTTGAGCTCAAATTACGAGCTGCCAGTTCTTGACGTAATTCATTCACCTATATTAGAATAAGATGCATTTCGATTTAAAAAAAATTAGAAAATAGAAAAGTTTTATTAAATGCATTTAAGTACTAACGTTCATCGATTTCGGATCTAGCTCGGAGTAATGCGTAGGATCTTTCTTCTCAGGCATAGAATCGTCCTGAAAGAAGAAAACACACGTTAGTAAGAAGCAGAAATAAAAAACCCGGAGAGAAAACTACAAAACAGAAGCAGCCCCTATAACGGAACGAAACCACTCCCTCTTCATTCTTTCATCACTCTCTACTTTTTTCAACACTCTCTCTCGCATTATAACGATATAAACATATCTTCATTCACGATGACCGTCAAATATGACTCAATAACTGCTAGAATCTCATAGTGTCCTGGCTCTGGTGTCTGTGTGTTATGGATAATATCAATAAGGTTGTAGTATATAACGATGATTAAATGAAAACTTTTGAACGAGATTTTCTCAATGTTGGTGAAGGTTTCAGGAAAGGGAATGGCTCAGCTGCGCTCTTCTCCGAGCTAGGCTTGCTTGCTTCTCTTGTTAATGCAATGTGACTGCCATTGGCTAAGGGAGCGATACATTATCCGTCGATCCTTTTTGACATTTAAAAGTGTTTGCATTGAGAATTTCTCACTAACTTATATGTAGAATAAAATAATCTTAATATAAGTTATGAGATATGTACACTTAAACTTTGCCTTATTAATAATTTTACAATATAAATAATACTTATTCCATAAAATAAAATGTATTATCTTATGGAAAAAGTCAAATCTATAAACATGTATTTCATTCCAAAAGCTCACAGTCTAATCATTCATTAATATTTGCTTTTTAAAATTGCCGTCACGATATGTATCATAATATAACTGTTACAGTAACATATCTGTACACTACAACCCAATATAATCTAAATTATTATTTGTTTTAACTGACAGTAAATACAATCTATTGTATAAAAAAAAAAGAAAAAAAAACGAAGACGAGAAATAGTGCCCACGATAGATTGACTTATTATAGGATCGATGGACAAGTATAACCTATTGAAAATTCAGTTTAGTAATGGGAAGAAACGGTGGCACGAATATATATATATAATAAATATATATATATATAAATATAAAAAAGTATAAAGTATGGCATGATGTTGGCAGTGCCTTTTGATCAGCGACGGCAGCCTCATCAGTCTCATTGGCAGCATCCAAATCGTCGGTGTTAGAAGAGGCACGCAGCAATTTTCGCTCCAGTTGTTTCTTATAGTTGAGTTGTAGCCCGTCCCATTCCAATCTGGTAGGTACACAGCTCCAAACATCTGGGAGAAATAGTATGACGGTTTCAACGCGAGAGGGTACCACTCGCCCGGACTTGTGGGTCGTTTCTGCGCGTCTGTAGTAGAGTTCCAGGAAGCGGTACCTGTGCCGCAAGGAAAAACAATACCCAAACGTCAACTCAGGTTAATGGCGCTTAGCGTTGCCTTATATGCTAAGTGTTCGTTCGCTTGTTCGTAAAGCCCACACACTGCATACAAAGCCACGTACAGCGCACAACGTAGACCATTTGAGAGAGAGAAAACACAACTTAATTCATATTCTAATAATAATAGAACAATAGTGATGATTTGTCTGCCGCGCGACTGCTCATATATCGTCGTCGATGGAAGGGTGTGCTTGAAACCGGGATCCAGTGCAGCAATCTCCATCGGTCGCTCGTATTAACAGAACAAATACATACCTCCACCGCAGAGAAATCGAGCTACAATCTTAGTTTATCAAGAGAACTGATATTAAAAGTTTCTCTCTATCGAAATAGTGAATAATATACCTATCATGGATACACCTTAATGCTATAGTGTTTTATTGCTTGATTTCTTTTTTTTAAATGATTTGTTTTTACGTTATATGTGAAATAAGAATTTGGAACTATAACCAAGACAATAAAAAAGAAAATTAAAAAAAATAATAAATTTTAAAAAAATGTAAAGAATTCCACAATTGTGACCTTTTGTATTTGTTAGCAAAATAGTATTCGAATGTAAAATGTGTAATATATACGAAAAGAAAAATTCAATGATATTACGTTGTTCTTTGTAATGAACCGAGGCTTTAAAGAAGCAGTTTTTAAAAGTACTTTAGAGTATTATGCATTCAACAAAAAGTATTGCTACTTGGAAAAAGCGTACCACTGAGTGCAGCTGGATAAATCTATGCCAGTAAGCGCTTTACAGGTCCTCACGGCCGTCCTGATTAATACAGACGGATCTTTTTCAGGATTAGGCCCGTCTAATGAGGGACTCCATGGCCCACCTATAGCCATTGTTTCATTTTTGCCCCTTAAGCCTACTAAGAAATTTATAAGGCGCGTAGGATGAACGTAATCGCGATCGGGATCTCTATCTTCGGAGACGCCACAACATCTTTTGTATATTTCTTCCATGGCAGGCATTGATATGAGCATGACCTAAAAAGCAATTAGAAAATATTCAGTACGCAAAATCACTTTGACATGCATGCATGTATGTATGGCAATCCCTATCAAGTATCGGCGCATAGATTATAGAAATTTGAAATCGCCCGTTTCTTGTCCTATAATGACAATCGCAACACAACTTCTTGACAGACCTTTGCAGAGAACAGGTAATCAGCATCCGAGGGTTCTAGTACTGCTGTATTTTCAATACACGGATCGACATCTTTATGCGTAACATGAAAGGAGCATGGTTTATTAAGGGTAAATGGCATATGTGGTGGAAAGGCATCGACCCATCTGAAGTTAGTTGAAAAGAAGTCGCTAGGAATGTACATATTTTGATAGCGTCTTCTTATCTCAAGAACATCTGCTTCAGGCCTGTGATAATAAGCAGTAATAAAACTCTACTAATGGATACATGTCCGCTATATAAAATAGACAATATATTACACTTACAGGTCAAGTGCGATTTTCGGTATTTGCACCATGTAACGCGGTACGACTCTTGTACGCCGACGAGGTCTGGGCGACTTGCTTCTTCTAGTCCTTGACGGGCTTCGGTCCTCCTTCTTCTCGCGTTCTCTTATTCTCTCTTCGCGACGTCTCTTTCGTTCTATTTCTTCGTCATCGTTTCTCCGCTCGCGTGGAGATCTTTCTCTTACTCTACCAATCTTGTTACGATTGCTGGTAGTGTTGGAATTTGTTGTACTTGTTGTGAACCTACTATAATATAATGTAATGTTTCAACAATGATAAAATATTGCATATCATAGGAAAGTAATTCTGCATATATAAAGTTTTCTGAACCAGATATCTGCAATATTTGTTAAAATTTGAACTTTATTTCAGATTTGAATTCTAACTAACAAATCCATAAATTTTATAATATTTATGATAAATATGAATTATTGGACTTTAACATAGTATCAACTATACGAGCTATATTAACTGACTCTAATATTTAATATTTATAATTTGGATAACTGTATAGATAAGTAAATACTAGCTTATGCCATTAAAAAATAGATATAAATTATACAATAATAAAATTTACCTGTTGTTGGGATTTTCTGTAGGAGGAGGTACAGCATTGTAAGTGCTTGATGTTCTATTTGGCTGTTGTTGTTGCTGTTGTTGTTGACGATTTGATTGATTAGTTTGTTGAGTATTTGCATTGTTGCTATTATTACTCATAGGGAGCACTTGTATTCTAGTGGCATTCCATTTGAACGGCATAGAAGGATTGTATGACGCCTCCACGAGTACACGATCGCCTACTACAGGATTAGACCCCTTCACGCATGCACTGGAGAGAAAAAGAGAGAGCGAGATGAATTTATTAAAATTTATAAATGCATAGATGTGAAAAAAATAGATTATTCTTAGATCTGTGCTTACCTAGTTTGAAAAAATACATCTTCATCTACAAAGCCAAAATTATCATGCACTTTGGTAACAGTGCCTGTGAAAACTCTTTGCTTTGTAGACGATGAAGGTACATTCTGTTGCACTTGCTGCGGAACACCAGTCACAGAAGGTTGAAAAGCATTTGTGTTCAATGCTCGCGGCGTTGGATAAGAAACTGTAGCAACTTGTGGATATAACTGTCCCGCTATACCCGATGGCAAATTTGAACCGAGAGTTGCCATTGATGCCATAGTAATATTGGGCTAGGAACAAAAAGTAACGTAGAATCATTTATATTTGCTTCAATAAAAATGATTAATCATGTTTAACTACATGGGAATACTAATTCTTGATATCTACCTGCTGCAGTCCCAGACTTTGTTGGTACACTTGTTGAGTTTGCTGTTGATATTGTACCATTGGTTGCCCTCCAATGCTACCCATGGCTTGACCTAGCATTTGTTGCTGGATATTCTGTATACCTTGACCTTCCACAAATACAGTAAAAATTATACATCGCAATACAAATCACATGTCATAAATCGGTCAAAATTTTAATTAATGTCACACGAGATAATTATACATAAAAAATGCTATAAGAAAAAGATACCGAGAGACAAATATCTAACATTGTTTTATTTCAATGACGATGCATAATAACAGAAGTTTTACTGAAATTAAAATTTCGCGAGAAAGACACGATTAATAACGTCCGAAGATGTAAGGAAAAGAAAAACAATAGGGAAAAAAAAGGAGTAAATAACAATTTCTCTAGAGGTGTCTCATCGTTTCACTCGTTACACTTTAAAGGTCATCGGGAAATTGAGAACGACGATTTACGAACGAATCGTCGCGAGCAACATAACGCATGACAGCTCGAAAGTGGTCCGTCAACTCGCGTAAATCGCCAGCGGAAAGGAATTTGGCGACAGTTCGTCGCGGTCGTATTGCACAAGGGACGACGACCAAGGTGATCCCGTTCTCGTTCGCGGAAAGTAAGCAAGCGTTACACGACTCACCTGCATTACGGACCCACGGCGGATTCTTGCCGCCGCCAAAGGGTGACAGATTGCTCATTTTGCCGAAGGATCGGGCCGATTTGTCGAGACACCTCTGTGAGGATATATACGCGTGCGTGTGTACAAACGCGACGGCAAATCTGGCAGGCACTCGCGTTCAGCGTCCTTCATTCGGGCGCCATGTTTTCACACGTACTACGCGAGTCGGAGCAGCGTCCGGTTCGGCGCGCGAGGGAAGTCGCGCGCAACCACTTCCGGTTTTGAAATGTGTCCCTCCTCGAAGAGAACGTGCACGTATGTCTCTCGTCAAATCATCCGCGTCAATCACGAACGTGTTTGTCGGTATAATTTATATAATATTATTATATTAATTTAAATATATAAATATTATTATAATTTATATAATATAATTTATATGTATATATATGTGTGTATTTCGGATAATTTCGGATATTATTAAAATACCTTGATTGTTTCCGCATGAAAACGCGAGCTCTGTTTATTTCAATTGTACTCTTAATATTCATTTTTCGCTCTCTTTCTCTCTAGGTTTATAAAAAACAAACGAACTGATCTGCGAGATTTATTCTTTACAGTTGCATTTTTTATATTATTTCTTTTTGCATCGCGAGAATAAATAGAAATAGAAATAAATAGAAATATATTAGAAATAAATAGAAATAAATATATAAATAATAGAAATAAATAGAAATAAATAGAAATATATTTTAGTGTTGGAGAGAAATTAAGAGCAACACGTTGCACATGAAGTGTAATTATATACACGAAAGAACAAGTCTGTGATTGGCCCGCTGCCTTAGGCGATACTTGGCGGGAATCGCAATATTTCGATAGATTTTGAATCGTCAGTTAATCATAAGACGCGTCGCGATAAAGTTGCCGAGGTCGATCGCGCTTCGTATTAAATTTATTTTTTGCGATTATCATCATTTAAGAGTGAATCCGCGATAGAGTATCTCTCGTCAAAGTGTCGTACATGAGTGCAATGAACATCGCGTGTGATTATCTCATTATTAATCGCGATTTCAACGATTCGTATTCAAAGTAAATCGAAATCCATTTTGCATATTTCGCGTCATCTTCGCATAAATCGGGAATGCAATGGATGCAAATCATTGTCTGCGATCATTGCCAGGTATGTACGTCGTTCTGTGAAGTGTTCGACAAATATTTAATATAATTAAAGCCATCGTATCGTGCATCCATAACGCTTTTTGCGTTATTAATACCTCATTTATTAATATCGAAGAACCGAGATTAAATTTTTCACATTTTTGCGATTCATACAAAATGTTTAATTAATCTTATATCTCTCTGCATTTTTCTAAATTTTAATAAGCACGAACACAAGGATTGATTTTGTAAAAGAATAAAGAAAAAATTCAAAATTGTGATTATATCTTGTGCGTATATCTAAATTTTTCACACACTTATTAAATAAAATATAAATACGTATATTTACACACTTAAACGTAAATGTAAAATATACGTATTATACGTATATTTTACATTTTTCAATCTTCTTAAAAATTACATAAGAATCATATAATAAAAATGAAATTAATATATAATCAAGAAATTCATCTGCATCTATCAGTTACACATATATATTTTCTCTCTCTTTCTCTAAGTGAATCATTCAATTTTCATGGTTTTCTAATATGCCAAGTCGAGATACTTTATTCAATCGCTTTATTCTCTCGTAAAATTTTTCCCAATTATGTACAAAAATATAATGAGAATCATTACAGAGTTCGTAACATTTAGGTACACGACGCGATACGCTTTTTCATTGTCGCAGCCTTTCGCGCTTTCCTTAAATCCTTTGAAGTGCGCTCAGAGAATATGAAATTGTGACACATGACAGTACATTACACAATAATAATATGCGCAAATCATCTTTCTATGAACACGTAAAGTATCGTTTTATTATTAGTTTTAATATTAGCATTGTGTCATGCAATTTTATATGGCTGTTTGCGATTCGCGCAAAATCTATTGTATGACACAAAAATGTCCAGAAGATATCTTTGCGACATTTTTTAACACATTTGTTTTACTAATCTTTAATTTACAAAAAATTTAAGTTTTAATTTCTTAAAAGAATAAATTATATTTTAAATAAAGAAAAATAAAAAGGAAGAAAAATGACAATGTATGTATTAAAAATTGTGTTGGAAATATAAGAAAGTTACGAGTTTTTAACACGCTTTATTATTAATTTTTTATCACGCTGACAATTACTTTTTATAAAATATAAAAAATTACATAGATTTATAAACAATTGAAATTGCATTACGAAATCATTCACAATCGAAAAGAATGAAAAAAAAAAAGAATCTTTATTCGTTTGTTTAAATTGATAAAATATAATCGAATAAAAAATACAGTAGCAACGATATCTTCATAGAAAAACTATCGCATTTATATTAGTACAAAAAGATCGGAAGCTTTTCTTCGTCTTGTCAGCAAAGTTTTCCCATTCGTTTATTAGTTGGCTGGTGAGGAACAAAGATAAACGCGTAGCGCAATTTTTCGATTGTTCGCATTTTCATGTTTCGTCAATCGATAAGATCCTTCATTGACATATCTCAAATTGTAGTATGATTCTTTAAAAAACGGCTAGATCGTAATATTTATAAAAAATTGCAATTTTCGAATCACTAATAAAATGTTACTTTGTTGTGTAATGCTATTTCATCAAAATGTTTCTTTCTTAAATGTTTAATTAGCATAACATTATTATATGTTCACAATACCATAGCATCACAAATTAAACAAGATTGTGATAATGCATAATAGATCTAACTGTTAATTATAGTTTAACTTTTTTATCGCAGTATTATAAGATAACCACACACAAAATTTATCTTCTTGAACACTCAAGAGCTGAATATTTTTTTAAATTTGTGTTCCATTTTTAATTCTCGCCTTCCTCGCATTCATATGAAATTTTGTACACATATTCTGTCATTCAATTATGGCAGTTTTTTTTTAGATTATGCGTATGCGTTGCCATTTACTCTTCATTATATTAATTATTCTCTTATGCTTATGCTAAACCGGGGAAGCAAAGCTAAGTACATATTCAAAATATACATATAATAAATAATCAAATTTGTACGATGCAAAATCTGTAATGTCAACTGTAGTATCAATTCCCGAGAATGTATCGCAATAAATCGGAAATTTAAATTATTGTGTTCGTGCATTTAAAAATTAACTCTAGTACACTTAGCAACCTATGCAAATATATGTCTAATATAATTTTAAAATATTTTTGCAATTATATTCGGATTAATATATATATATATATATATATATATATATATATATATATATATACACAAATAAACTATGCAAATCTACAATCAAGCGTCATTATACATAAAATTTTCCGCAATTTTCTGAATTTACATATTTTACACAAAAGTTGTATAAATTGCAATTATTTTATAAAAGATAAAACTTATAATCTTTTAATAATTTTAGAAGAAATATTTAAAACAATCTTTGAGAGGAAACGAAAGCTTGACTTGTGATTCGCACACACACACACTCACGCGCGCACACACAATATATGTATATATATATATATATATATATATATATATATAAAATATATTTAATATATATATGTATATATATATATATATATATATTAATATATAATATTATATATATTAATATATTATAATATTTATTATTATATATATCAATATATAATATATAATGTTACATATATATATTAAATATATTGTTTTGTTAAAATAAAAAATTTTTAATCATTAATGTTCTAGTTTTTGATTTAAATAAAAAATACTTAAGAAATTACCTGCTGCAAAATATGTCTTTTATAATAGCACATTACGATATTACAATATTGAAATCTTGCAGATTGGCGTAAAGTGCGGCAATATATAAATTAAACTTGAACAATATTTCGAGAATACATTTTCATATGAGATATATAATCGAAAGTAATTGCATTAAAAAAAAAAAACCTGCGTTCACAAATATGAAACTCGTTATCCGTGTAAATGAAAACTTCACGAACGCTTTTCGATGATACTCGTTTCCAGTTTATTCTGCTAATTGTCGCTAATTCTCATCTCAATTGTACGTATACTTTCATAAAGGAGCTCATTATGATGAACACGGCGTAAGACTTACTCTACGTTTAGATTTTACTCTCGTTCGATAGAGCTATTTTATCCGCCTGTAAAAATAGCCGAGGTTGAATTTATTACAATCGAGAAAAACGTTTTATCATTAAAGATTTTTATTATGTGTATTTGGATCATCATAAATAATATATTCACAAAAATAGGAAGTGTACAAATATATTAATCTTATAGTGCAAATATTACGATCTCTAAAGATTTGCCCTTTCCCTCGAATATAGTATTATTTGCGTGTATGTGTATATATTTTGAGACATTGTTCGTATTCGTACGACTTGTTTAGTGCGACCATTATGGTCAAACTTACGGATTGCGTGTAAGAAAGACTCATTACTCAGTTCCCTTGAAGCTTGATTCTACGACAACAGAGCTTCGTGACTTTCGTAACTTGAATATCGTATACTTTTTTTCGATCGATTAAAGCGTTCGTGTTCTGTTGTGCACAATGATAACGAGCCGCAGTGCGGTTTATTGAAGCCACTCGTATTGAACACCAAAGCGATCGAAGCGACGAATAAATCCTTCCTTTTCGGCAACTTATCGCAGATATTATCGCACCATCAATGGTAGAATCAAGCTATTATAATGAATTAATAATATACAAAAAGATACATAGGCTTAGTTGATAAAGTTGGCACATGTCGCTAATAATACATAATATTCTCATGAAACTTTATTTTAAAATAACAATCAATAAAAAACATAAATTCATATATATGTAAAATTGTCGTGTTGAATAAATTGTTACATTAATTTCGTATCATATAAGATATAAATATAAATATTATTTTAACAAAATAGGAAGCTCAAATGAAAAATATAGGGCAAACAAATTCACAATCGTAAGTCGTCTATCGTGATCGAAAAGTATGACGAGATATATAATTATTCTGGTGAATTTGATGATCATTATTAAGAATAGAAAAAAATCATCAATTTTTCAAAATTAATAAATTTTTTAAAAGAAACTACAAATTATTAACGATTGCCAACATAATCATATAACGATTCTGTACGATATTTCGGACGAATTGATCTGTATAATTTAATGTCATAAATTTTTAAGAATATTAAAAAATTGAACACTATTACAATTATAGAAAAAGAAAAAGACAGAGACAAATAAAGAGAAGAAGAGAAGGGAGAAGGGACAAGAAAAAGAAAGAGAATCGATCATAATGGAAAAAAAGAATTTAGTTCTAGCAGCGTGTCTCAATGGAAAGTAACTTGAAAAAATTACGTATAAACAACATCAACATTCGTATACAACCAGCAAAAAATGTACGCATAGCAAACACGAACAATTAAATTATCGATGATGAATGCTCTGCATTCTTCGTCGTATGTGTGCGTTTTATCCAGCTTATCTCTCGTATTATTATTTTTATATTATAGTGATCTTTCTTTAATTAGTTCAGCTTCTCTCTATTTGCAATTTAAAAATTGCAGCATAATTTCATAATGTTAAATATGAAAATCATAAAATAATTTTTTCTCTTCTCTAATTATCTTATTTATATTATCATTAATATCATTAATGATTTTCGATAATGTCATCGTAAATATTACAAGGCTCTAATTTAAAGATTGCACCACGTTTTACGTAGTTTATTAGAAAATCAAGATCGCGCATTTTTCTAGTGATCAGTTGAATCGCGTTTTTTTTTCTTTTTTACACAGATATAACAGCTGTCTTATTGATGACACTATGTTAGTGAACACAACTTCTGCTCTGCTAATAATGCAGAATATTTATAATGAGGTGTCTCGCTTTATATACGTCTGCTCTTTTGTCCGAAAATCTCATCGTCTCTTCATCCTTTTTACACATGAGCGTAATTTGGTTCCGCAATTTCACGTGTGAATTCGTAGACATGTTGCTAGATATATTTTCATAATAGACAAATAATAACTGATACGATGAGACGAACAAATGACCGACACACCGATTAAAATGTTCAAGCTTCCAATGAGGCCGCGACATGTCCTAAGCGAGCTTTTTATCCGTGATGTTATTGTTGGCGACATAACCATTGTTCGTGCCATTACTATAACAGCTGTTGTACTCCTTGTTATAGATCGTGGCGTACGAAGACACACCGTTATGCGTCGCACTACCGTTCTCGTCCAGAATTGGCATACAAGCTCTACCAGATGTACCATTGTGCATCTTCTTCGTGGAGTTTTTGCTCGCAGGACCACCTACATATTTCGTTTTGTAAAAGTCCGAGAATAGTCCAAGGAATAGAACACCGTGTAAACCGATCCAGATCATGAAACCTCGCGGATAATTGCACTCGGTGAAGAGCAATTGGAACTGATGGCACATGATCATTACGAATTGAATCTGTAATCCGGACAAGCAGTGAGGTAAGTAACTATAAGCGATAACAGAAATTCTGATATATAAAATTTGTACCGTCTCAATACGGGAATTAAAATATTATATGTTAAATATAATATTATAATACGTTTCAAATGTTAAAGAAACAGTAGTAATACTGCTGACGAAATAGAATTATAAAGCGAATGAGATTTCAAATTGGAAAATCAATCAACGATTCTACGACGATTTTATTTCATTTTTGCCGATTTCATTTATTTGATTAATTTTATTGGATCTCAGAGAGCAATTATATTTGTGATTAAGTGTTATACTTTTTTCTACTAGTATGAATTTTAAACTGTATCCGGTGAAACCGGTCTCCCATTCCCGCTATTCATTATTGTATGTATTTGAAGAAGCGATTAAAAACATATATATCTAAACACATCATACTATAATATTTTTTAAGTATTATAGAGTATCATAGTTTTTAAATTATTGAAATAAAATTGACTTTTTATAACACATACTTAAAAAATAGTCATTAAATATTTAATTACCGACAAAAATCAAATAAAATACTATTTGCGAAAAAAAATTTCGCGTAAAGTATACACATGTTATAATTTTTGATGATCACTTGTTATTTCTAAATTCGTAATAACATGAGGTGATGCTGAACTTACCATTTGCATGCTAGTGAGATACTTTTTCCACCAAATATACTTCTGGAACTGTGGTCCCATCGCGGCTACCATGTAATAGAAGTACATTACGATGTGTACAAAGGTGTTTAGGAGAGCGAAGAAAGTGCTATGACCGCCCGGTGCGAATTTTACCCCCATCCATACGGAGAAGGGCATTACCCCATGATGAATTACGTGAAGCGTTGAAACGTGTTGATTTTTCTTTCTCAGAATAAAGAATAGCTAAAAAAATATGCAATAAAAATTTCGATTAATTAAATTTTCTTTTTTTCTCGCCATTTCGATAATCTTGATTAATTCAAGTATTTCTCTAACAATTTATTTTTCTAATTTTGCAACGTAACAAATATTCTTCAATTCAAAGTTTTTGAAAAGTTTTGCGTCTTGGTAGACTATATATGCATATTATAAATATGAGATTGACAGTAATATTGTAATAATAAGTGTACTTCTTTTATAAAGAAACGGAATTATTTTTCTGTACGTAATTGAAAAAGAATTTCCAACAAGTATCTGAAGTTCAGAAATGTTGTCTAAAATTATAAATTAATTTATTAGACATTTCGATAATCTTGATTAATTCAAGTATTTCTCTAACAATTTATTTTTCTAATTTTGCAACGTAACAAATATTCTTCAATTCAAAGTTTTTGAAAAGTTTTGCGTCTTGATAGACTATATATGCATATTATAAATATGAGATTGACAGTAATATTGTAATAATAAGTGTACTTCTTTTATAAAGAAACGGAATTATTTTTCTGTACGTAATTGAAAAAGAATTTCCAACAAGTATCTGAAGTTCAGAAATGTTGTCTAAAATTATAAATTAATTTATTAGACATAAGATTCACGTTTTACATTTATTTCATATAGTCTAGTCAATATCAACAATGAAATAAAAATCGATGCTTACCGTGTCAAAGAATTCGGTGAATTTGCTAAAGTAATACCACCAGCAAGTTCTCGCCATCCTAAGGCCCATCGGACTGGATGAGTAATCCACCGGCTGGCATCGGATACTATAGCCTTTCGCCCAACCGCTCATCAAGTACTGAACATCAAATCATTCAAATCATTTGATTATATTATTTGAAATGTAACAATAATAAATTTTTTTCATTATTTTTGTAAAAATTATTCATCAAAATCAGGATAAAGTTTCTCATGTAATATCGTTGTATTTTGATTCATGAGCAATCATTGTACTTTTATGTTTAACGATCTCGTATTTAAAAATAAGAAAGACTAAAATATATATGTGCACATTTTCATAAGATCATTGTGTGTCATTTTCGCGTTAACCGTTCGCTTAAACTCAATTCGCTCGAATTTAAGGATTGTTTTGCGTTGTCGAAAGGCGTCAAATATTCACAAAGTCCTTAAAAGTATAAGTAATTCGCTAAGTGGCTCCATTTATATTCAGCAGTTGCAATACCGTTATAATCTGTTGCGCGTCGAAAAGGCGACCTAACCATTATATTTGCGGAGTAAATTAGTCTTACACTCCTTGTTCGCGTTTATAGCAATTCGTATTATTAATTGCATCGAGTTACACGCCCATTGAGTTACAATCCATTTTTTAATCGAGATTGAGTTACAATCCATTTTTTAATCGAGATTTAAATATAGAAGACGATTAAAATGATGAGCGAAGATAAAAATATTACATTCGAAAAAAAATACAAAATAAAGAAAAGAGAGAAAGAGAAAAACGTGTACCGAAAATATCACTTGGTTTACATAATCTGTTTTATATAATTTCTTTTTTATATAATGTTCATGATTTCTTAATATAATTCATAGTAGTATTAATAATATTAATAAACCTGACACAGATATTGTGATATTCCTTGATTTATTTTTTGATTCTTTGAAATATCTATACAATAAAATATAAAATTAAATATTTAATAAAATGTTTATACTATAAAATATGAAATTATGTTTTAAAATAGATATAAAATATATAATAAAATGTTATATATATAATATAATAAGCTGCTTAATATTTTGCTTGAATTAGATACTAGTTACATAATAAAAGAAGTGTTATCTTTGCTCGATATATTTTTTGTTTCATCTTTTATTAATTTAAAAATAACACATTTTTAATATTTATAATTTGTTCTTTATACGTTTTTAATTTGATATTTATAATTTGTTTTTCATACATTTTTAATTTATCATCAACGGAAACATATCGCTCTATTTTTAATCTAAAAAATTAAAAAAATATATTATGTTACTGCCTAGATCTGAGAAGATCTAAACGTTAAAACGAATAAGTTGTAGTTAAACCAAGTTGTAATACAAGTTTTTACTTTCTAGAAATCTTTTTTATTATTTTTGAACAACATACATAAATTAATAGTATATATTTTAGTGGTTTCTTTAGTTTCTTAAAACTCTCTAGAAGTCGATTTGTCAGCAAAAGGCAAAAGACAAGCGATTTATCAACAAAGAGAATCTGGAAACTATCACTAAATTTAATGTTTGTTCAAACGTATCCTGTATAGGAAAACTTTAATTAAGTGGATTAATGTTGTAAACATTCAGCGCATGTTTAAAGGTTTCATTTAAATTCAATTAAGTTCTAAATTTAGAACCTACAAGAAATGAGCTACCGTATGTATGCTACTTCAAAAGAATTACACGAACCTATGTTCATAAATAAATTAGAGAATCTGTTAGAGTAAAATCAATTCGTATAAAAACAAAATTGACTAAAGGAAAAAATTTAATTGTACATTTATTTAATTGAAAAATTTATAAACTTTTTTCTAAGATAATGAATTTTGAATTATGTAGTAACGTTGTTCAAGTGCACAGCCCAACATTTTAAATTAAAAAATTATTTTTTCATTTGCAAGAAATTTTGCTAAATGTACAAATTAAAAAGAAATGGAGAAATTTTAAATAGAAGCAGGTATGCCAAAATTAATTATTTTCGCTTTTTTTCATAATCATCATATAACATGTATTACACGTTTCGTATGATGTATTTTTTAAATACTTATTTGTAATGCAAATTATTTTAGTCATTGCTATATCTTTCTTGACGTGATAAAATTTTACTTTCGCTTAACATTGACGCATGTGCGTGTAACTGTATCGCAATACGCGTACGCAATATTAAATATGAGTCTTAAGAATCTTTTTAAGTATCAGTTCATATTCGCTTGTGTGAATAGGAAATAAAATATAGATGAAAAACGGAACATAGATTATGTATAATACGCAAGATAATCAATGTTTTATGAGTATTTTATGAGTATGAATTGTACGTAAAAATATAATTTTTTTCTGATACATTGGCCTTAACTTTTAAACCGATAATGTAAATAATTTATGACTATTGTTATTTGTTCTAATATTTTCTCGGTTAAAAAATTATAATATTATTTACAATTTGATTTTATTTTATAAACAGACGTATTTTATATTTGCTTGGAACATCCTCTTATTAAAAAGCAAAATTTTATAGATTCTTTGAATTATTTTTTTAAGTATTATAAAAATATATTAAGTATTTTTACAATTAGATACTTGCTGTAAATTTATACAGTATGTTAATCATAATTTTTGATTTAAATTCTTAATTTTTAAGACATTAATTAAGAGTTTCAAAAATTTATACATTTTACCTATTTTTTTAAATCATTCTAATTATTTACTGAGACGCAAAAATTATCTCTATTGACGCAAATTTATCGCGTTTCGTGATAAGAATTGAATTAAAGTTTGACATTTGCACAAAGTCAAGTGCGGTATTCTCCATAACAAAACACTGAACATTGACCGATTATTAAAATACGCCGCTGCAATCAAGTTCGTGCGTAAGTTCGTACTTATAAATATGTACATTTAATTAATAATTTGATTATCATTCAATAAAGTGAAATATATATATTGTATACATAATTTCACATTTTAACTTTCGTCCGATAAATGATCACGATTCGATTGTATTTCTAATTGAATTCCATTACTTTATTATTTTAAGATCGCAAAACCAACAACAAAACGACAAAATTTCATTTGATTAAGATACAAATTCATAGAATTTTATCATGATAATAGCTCAAATGGTATCGAAATATGATACTGTTTTATGTCATTTTAATAATTTAGGTATTTGTAAATGTGAATAAATTAAGAAATAGGAAAGATTAATAATGTAAAAAGAATTTATTTAGACTTTAAAGGTCGGTTAATAATATATCTCAAACAATTATTATAAGTGGCTGGAGGAAAGTTTTTCTGTGGAGAGAGTTATTTTAATTCTCGGGAGAGATCGTAGTTTCCCTTTAAAATGATTTACCCTCGATTTAAGGAACCGCGTGTTGTTGCTTGCTCGGGCTAAAGCAATTATTGATTATGTTGAAAGGATACGCGAGAGGAGGAATTGAAAACAGCTTCTTGTCGATCGCCGAGCGGAAAAACAATCGTGGTTAAATTACAAAATTCGATTTTATGATTCGATTTGATGATTAAATTCATATTTTCTATTTTTCCTTTATAAATTATTAACAATAGAGCAAAGCATTTTTTATCAGGAATGCATTAATAAAATTAAATGATATCAAGATATGTAAAAACGAACCTCGTAGAATATCCAAGCGGAGAATAGAGTTTGTACGAGATTATATATTATGAGAATCCCGCGAAGATCGAAAGGCTTTCTGTTTTCCATCAACTTCGGTCCCAGTACCCTGCTAAAGTAAGCGTACGACAGGCATATCGCCAGAGTCGGAAAGGGGCTGCTCATCATCACCCAATCGTTCACCCTGGGGTCTGGAAACAAATAAAGAAAATATGTTTTTAAGAGCACAAAAGAACACATAAAAATATATAAGAGACAGTCACAAGTGTGAAGCAGGAGTTCGATGAAGAGTCTGTGCGAAAAGTCATTTAAAAAGGAAATGAGCGAGATTGTTTAGTGAAGATCAAGGGTGAAGAAGCAAAACCTTCCCCCTGAAATTTCGTTCTCGCGAAAACAATTGACATTTCGTAATGTATGTATATCGTATGCGAGTTCGAAAGTAGAGCACACGTGAGTACGATTTAAAAGTCGTCCTCGCATTACGTAATGTCGCGCACCTGCAACGGGGTCGAAGTTCGAAACTGGCGGCAGGAAACGCTGTGCAGCAGGAATCTATTACGTCATCGTCAACAAATTAATATTAGAAGCTGTCGATATGTTGCAACCAAACGAAAATTTAGCAAACAATTAAATCGAATCCGCCGTCGCTGCATATTTATTTCATTCGCTGCGTATTTATTTCTCAAGAGAATTTTTAAGCGCGTTTAAATTTTTAAATGCCGAAAAAATGAAGAAAAAGAGAGAGAGAGAGAGAGAGAGAGAGAGAGAGAGAGAGAGAGAGAGAGAGAGAGAGAGAGAGAGAGAGAGAGAGAGAAAAAGAAAGGATTATTATCCCGAGCGAAGAGCAACATGTTCGTTCTTTCGCGAGCGCCCTAGTAACGCCATCGTAATTTTTCTATCCACCCTCGATGACCGAGAGAAAACAGAAAAAGGCCGAGTGCGTGCACGAGGCGCGAACGAGCGAGCAGAGAGTCGCCTTCCGGTAAATTAGCCTCGCGTTCATGCGACCTAACGGATACGCGAGACCGATACACGGAACGATTTTTTTTTCCTCTTGTCTCTCTTTCTCCACCTTTTTTTTTTCATTCTCAGCGAAAGGCTTCAGTTCTCGGTCATAACACGATTGGTCGACGGACTCGGTTATGAGCTGACGATGCGGCGCGGTCTGTCGTCGATATTACGCGCCACATTCTTTGTACGCTTTAATTTTAATTTTAATTTCACGCTATTGTTGATTAATGAACTGGTTTAAGCGTCTAGTTTGCGAATATAAAAATGTCGACGACCTGTTCATACACAGAAAAAAAAGAAATATCAAATGAAAACTTATATATTTAAACGCGTTTATTGTTTCGTATATACGTAACAATTTATAGTCTTCTTAGAAGAATTTAATAATTTTACATTTCAACAATATTATTGTCTTATTTTAATATCGTATTTGTCACCTTAAGAATATAATTATTTAATTCTATTTAAAAAAAAATTATAATCTTTGATTTAAAAATGTTATTTTCTATCTAACATTGTTTCTTTCAATCTATAATCTTCTTAAAATTTAATAATTTGAAATTTTAACAGTATTATAGTCTTATTTTAATATTGTAATTGTCACCTCAAGAATATATAATTAATTCTACTTTAAGAAAATTATAATCTTTGATTTAAAAATGTTATTTTCTATCTAACATTGTTTCTTTCAATCTATAATCTTCTTAGAATTTAATAATTTTGAATTTTAACAATATTATAGTCTTATTTTAATATTATAATTGTCACTTTAAGAATATATAATTATTTAATTCTACTTTTAAAAAATTATAATCTTTGATTTAAAAATGTTATTTTTTATCTAACATTGTTTCTTTTCCATTTAAGAAAATTAAATCTTAAATCATAAGAATATATTTTTCTCGATTGAACTGTATAAAATGGCTTCATTCAAGTAAGCAATTATTCAAGCAATTATATAATTATATTATATAATTATATATAATTATATATAATTATATAATTATATATAATTATATAATTATATAATTATATTTTTCTTTAATTAACGCAATATAATCTCATTTCAAGATTTCTATGTTAAAACTAAATATATTTTCAAAACAAGAATGTCCTTTTTTTCTGTGTATATATGTATAAAATTCCGATGGGAAAAAAATTAAATTTATGTTGATCTAGAAAAAAAAATATGCACATAAAAAAAATATGCATAAGAGAGAATTTATGAATCGATAACGAAACGTAAGATTGATGTCAGTGTATGCCGGTTAAATATTGGAAAGGAAAGTGGATGTAAACAGACGAGATATATACCAAGTATGTACGAGGCATGCAACTGTAATCACAAAGCGAAATGCTAGGCAACAGGCAATATTATATCGAATTTCGTGTACTCGTACATTCACACACAAGCGTCACGTAATACTTTTACGAAGACTGATGAAATCAGTAACGCAACGGGGGCGTTTATCGTTACGGTCGGGCACGGCGCGGGCGCCTTTATGTCTATACAGCCTATGATTAGTGAAAAATACGAACTGCCACTTCGACGCCGCTTCGTCGACCCTGTTTTCCGCACAGAAAGTTTGCGCACGAAAGTTTGCGTTGTAATAGTAAAAAAAAAAAATGTATATATATCGTTCGTTCTGCATCAACGACCGATGCTTCCATCGATTTCAAGACGCCGCGACGAAACGTCAAACGATCGTACGTCAATTTACTTGCTACCGTCACGCCCCAATTAAAGATGACACAGATCTTACCCCGTATCAAACGATGTATTGATACTATGGATGTCTATTATTTACGTCAAATAAATTTCGATCTCTTTAGAGAACAGGCATTATAATTCTATATTTTTACTTTTTGATTCTTTTTTATTTAAAAATTTGTTCGTGGAAATAAATGTCTCAAAAAATCAGGAACATAAACTTTGGAATTATTTGTACTTATTTTTATATTTTTCTTTGGAACTATTCACCAGTTAATTTTTGATTGACCTTTTTTTCTACACCTGCAGAACCAGTTCTTAAATTATAAGTGACTGACAACGAATATTTTAGAAATAAAATTTTGAAAATGTCAAACGAATAAATTATATTAAAATTATCGAGAGGATTGACAAATTAATCGTTTGCTAAAAAATCTGGTATTTTGTTTATTTTCATATTTTTCTGGTATTTTGTTTATTTTCATATTTTTACACGAAGGTCATACGAGGTATCGGAATAGTAATATTCCTGAATAATATTATATTATATTTAGGGACTCTGGTCAAAAATTTTAAATAGATTACGAAATTTTGAATAGATTATAACAAGATTGAAAATGGGACGTCTGACAATTTTGCTAAAACTGGAGTCAAATTTCTAAAATTCTAATTAATTTTTATTTAAATAATCTAAGGAATAATCAAGGAAGTAAATCGTAAAATGTTGGAATATTGTAAATATTTTATCATAAATATTTAAAAAAATTGAAAATAAAATCTAGCTATTTTCTTTATACATATTATATTACATAATAATGCAAAATCACTAGTGTGGCAATAAATGAGCAATTTTCCAAATAATAAATTAGTTATAAATTTTGCTTATATTGCAGTTCCACCGCTTTCCTCCTCCTTCATTCTTACTGTTTCTTCATTTCTTGCAAGCACTCGTAAAAACACGGTTAATTATAATAACATACACCAGAATGCGACGATCGTGTGCCACTTTGCATAACATTTCCAATATTAATCTCATACGACGCTTTATTATATTATGATGGGAGAACAACGCTAAAATTATGTACAATTCGCTCGAATTTCGAAATCATGCGACATTGCAAATTCACGTACCAGTTATCACGGCATTATTATTTTTGTCGCTAACAAATACGCTTGCATTTTAATGTAATTTTACACACACTCTTTTAAATGATCTACGAGTTAAAATTAAAGATAAATATCGGAATGATGAAATATTTAAAAATGTCGTCGTTTTGTTGATTGCTTGCATGATAAATTTCATAGAAATCACGTCTTAAATTAAACATCTTAATAAATCGATTTTTAAATATGATACTGAATTTTCGTTACGTATTTAATATCCAAAAAATTTACTGCAAAATTTTAAACTAAAGTTTGGAAATTTTATTGTGACTTTGCCGTACAATACAAATCAAGTTAATTGTTTTAAAGATCATAATTGCGAGAATTAATTTCTGGGGCTTGGTAATCGCTAATTATAATGATAGCATTTGACATTTGAGACATACCAAGATTATACTTTGAAAGATAATACGATACATGAAGCGTCTGACTACTTTCTCGTTCGAGATCTGTCGTGCAAATGACAACAAGACGACCATATTTAAAGTATTACGTATTATACATCGCAGAGATTTAACAACATTTTTTATGACGTATAGAGCGTTATTGTTTACGCGCGCGGTCGTCTTGTCATTTGCGCGATGACCGCTGATGTAGCGGTTGTTCCGGATATGTGTTCTTATTATATCGCTCTCATATATATTGTATAATACTGTATATTATCTCTCGAAAAATTGCAATATGTTAGAAGTACTAAATTCTTTATTTTCTTTTCTTGGTTACACAATTAAAGATTATCAATTTGCGTGATTCATTAATTCCTATTTATTATTGTCGTTTTTTTAAATCAGCAATTACTAACTCGACTCGCGTGATATAGCGTGATATAACGTGATACATTAGGTTGCACAATTTTATTTTTGAGTCAGCTTTACTTTAAAATTTTTTATCATTCGTATCATTAATAAAAATTGTGAATACAAAGTCGATTTTAAGTTGTGTTGAGTTGCCTTTAAATGCGAGCATATTTTCAAAATAATAATTCAAACAATAATTCAAAATAATATAAAATAAAAGGCTTAGAACCAAGGCGTAGGATGGGACAGTACGAAGGATAAATCAAAAAATGTTCAAAGACAAATCTCAAATCACGCATTTACAAATTTAATAAATAATAAACTAAGATAAAGACAAACGCACGTTTCGATCCGTTACGGATCCTTTTCAATGTCGCAGATTATAATATAATAGAAATCAACGCTGTAATTGATTTAATTTAATTTATTTCGACCATTAACTGTTACATTTTTCAAATAATTTATCACCGTTTCAGGTCCATCTGACTTCTTTTGTTATTCTTATCTATTATATTGTAATCTGCGACAAAAGGATCCGTAACGGATCGAAACGTGCGTATGTCCTTATTGTCTTAGTTTATTATTTATTAAACTTGAACATTTTTTTGATTTATCTTTCGTACTGTCATCCTACACCTTGGTCCTAAGCCTTTTATTTTATATTATTTTGATTTATCATTCACGTTACTAATTTTATTCTTATCGAGCATATTTTGTTAGCAATAAAAATAACATTGTCGCGGCAAATATACGTGAACTTGAAATGTCGCATAATTTTAAATATATCGAATTGTAATTTTCGCGTTGTTCCCTCATTATATTATAATATAACGTACACGTAGCGTGTGAGAAGTAATATCTGAGAGCTGTACAAAGTAGTGCGCGTATTCTAGCGCGTGCGATTGAAATTAACCGTGTTTTCGCGAGTGTTTTGTAAGTGCCATGAAGAAGCAGTAAAAACTGAACAAGAGAAGAGAAGGCGGAACAACAAATTCTGTGAGGTGAATAAAAAATTTCTGTAATTTATTTATTATTACTTAATTAATTGTTTATTTATTTTTGCGGCAGCTTTTTTAATCTTATACTTTATTTTTTTATATTATATATGTATATTGTGTAATGCATATACACACATATAAAAAGTATATTATTTTTTAAAAATTCTCTTAAAATGTATTTCTAATAAAATATGCACAATTAATTTAATATTTAATTTTTTAATTTGTTTAATATTTATCATTATATAATGTAATATTATTTAGAATTTACAATTATTTAAATTATTTTTAAATAAAAAATTATATTTATTATAAAAGAATTTGCATTTATAGAAAATACTTTTTTTGGGAAATTATATGTAATGTTTTTATTACCTGTTTTTAAAAATCAAATGAAAAATTCCGTATAATAAATATGTATATTTTGAAAATATTAGTTATTTTAAACTCTGTAATATATATATATATATATATATATATATATATATATATAATTATGTAATTGTGTAATTATATAATTAATTATATAGTTTTATAATTATATAATTATATAATAATATAATTATATGTGTGCATATATATATATATATATATATAATTCGAATAACTCCATATTTGCATTATATTAATATTGTACATTATATTTACATTTTTATTTTATTTCTGTGCATCATATCAGTGCGTCTTAAATGTTATATGTATTATATAATCATTTATAAATAGTTATTTTTGTAGGTTCTACTAGTATTAGCAAATTTTAAATATTCACTTTGCGAATAATTCCAAACTTCAACAAGCTCGCTTTATGACACACTATTGACTCGCGTCATGCTAAAAAGAATTTGTGAGGGCGAAGGAGATTTCTCGTCATCGTGAAAATATGCGCGGTAAACAAACTCTGTTGAAATATTTTGGTTGTAATACAAGAGATGTAATACACGAGATTTCCGGCGAAAGAAGCTTCGCATCATTCTCTGGATTGGTATTTGTGAGTAAATTTGCATACTTCTCTTATATTCTCTTAGTCTTTCGATTGGTGAGCAATATTGCAAATATATGAAATGCGATTTTTCTTTTTTCATTCATTAACACACCGATACTTTGACCATTCGTTTAATCAAATTCTTTGAACATTATTTAAAAAATTGCGGCATATCGATATGTAAACATCATGTTATGTCGATCTTTACAAAATTATGAATGTTACGCAGTAATAAGAAATGGATAGCGTGTGCAAATACATTTTATCGCAAAACGAAATACAAATATACATTAACGATGTGTTAAAAGGAAATGTGATAAAAAATACGAAAAAATTACTTTCCAATTTCGTGAGTTTAACAAATTCTATAAAAGTGACACGAACAGACCTTATACCATTTAATTCTGCGATTTAAAAGTTTTTAGCACGTGTTCGATAAATTTCTGATGTATATATGCCTTTAAGTGTACGTACTACATTTAAGACGATATATGTTCTGTTTGTGTTCTTTCAAAAATATCTATGATATTCTGCTATTCTTTTTCTTCTTAATAATTTAAAAATATCGAATAATATTTAAAAAAAAAGAAGCTGAAGTGGAATATATTTGAAGGTTTAATCATGGATAATGTAAAGAAAGGGAAAAAAAACAAAACAAAAAAACATGGGTCTCGATGTGTTACATACGAATAAAAAGCAACATGTTTATAAAATGTTATCGTATATATATAAATATTATATATATTCTTCTCTGACTAAAGAACTCGTTGGTGATATCAATAAAGAAGAAATGTTTTAGTTGTTAGAATTATTAAAAGAGATAAAAATATAATGAGATTTTGGCAAAATTGATAAAGAGAAGAAGGTTTAATATAACTAAATAATTAAAAGCTTTAATATAATTAAATATAAGACTTACCGGACTGATTGTTCATAAGGTCTTTATAACTATGCACCAGATTTGTTACTGCGCTCGTCATCTTGAATAAGATCTGAAAGCAAAATATAATCATTTTGTGTTTGTACTTTAAAAGGTTATCGAGTGTTCTCGAAAATACTCGAGAAACAAATATATACAGCATTTATATATTTTTGACTTTCTCACACTTCACGATTTATATCATTTTCGGTTATAGTTTTATTGAAAATTTAGCAATATATATTTTTTATTATATATTTTTTTATATATTTTGTATTAGTAAGAACTTCCATAAAGAAATGAAAAGAAAAAAAAAAGATTTCGCCAAGAAATCAATCATTATTTTTATAGATTTTTATAACTCAATAATTTTTGTTAAAATTGTGCGAAAATATATATATTTTAATTGATATTTATCGAAAAAAAAGAGAAGTTTTCGTATCTTTATGTGCCAATTTATTCCCACTTTATTATACGGGATTCTGAAATAAATTGCCCCTGAAAATTGCAAAGAAACATTTTTTCATAATCTCAAGACTCTTTGTCAAAACTATAGCCTGCAAAGTAGTATGCAAATTTATCCATAGATAAAAGTTAATCGTTCAATTTCTGGTTTAATTATATTATATAATAATAAAAACACACACACAGCGTAAATATGAAAATAATTGTATCTTGTAACAGTTTACTGGTTTCTAAGATAGTAATTACTCTTTACTTGATATATAGACACACACGCGATTTTCTGATATATGATCACATGAGCCTCGTGTTAAATTTGTACGCCAAATATCACGGTATGTTCTGTTCGTTAGTGGGTCAAAGTAACGGTCAAAGACAAAATCGAGCTCGATTAAAAATTTCGTCAGATCTCTTTACCACAAGACAACGATCACATTGAAAGCTGCTTGTTGACCAAATGACAGTTGCCATTGACATAGTGAGCTCTAATCACGAGGAAGGTAGGCGTAGTTGAGTACGAATGACTATACATACCTATGTAGGCGTATTTACGCGCGTCGATCGTGTTAAACTGAATACGACGTACGTGTATGGTTACGTAGTCAATTCATATTTGATAAGTGCAGTTAGTGCATACAAATCAGATACGATGATTGTTTAAACGGTGTTAAGATGACGTTGACTTTGACTTTTCACCTTATGCCGCGAATAAATTATCTTATACGTTGAAATATTATGTTGGCGATGTAATCGTTATACATAATGTTTCTTTTAAACTTTTGTCGATGTCTCTTTTTTTAATGAAAGGCTCAAGAAATGTATTTATTTTGTAGATGCAATAACATTTTTAAAGTGACGAATTTGTCATAAATAAAATCTTAATTCTTTAATTTATCAAGAATTTCAATTTAAAAAGTAGTTCATTAATTGTTTATTCTTACAGAATAAATACTTGCAACAAATAATAACTTTTTTCGATACATCATTAATGATTTTTTATAAACTGCTTATATTTCTTAACCTTCTTTTTTACTTGAAACTTGATATGTTTGGTATCTATATTTTATTATAGAATATAAAAAGATAATATATTCGACAGCTCCTTTATTTACAGAATACGGAAAAAACATTTAACATATTGCATGCAATATATTCAGATTAAAAACAAATGTGTTGGAATTTCTTTTTAGAGCAGTTGCATAGGCAGAATGATGTATAAACTTGTCGTAACTGGTTTTTATGATATTTTTAACCAATTTAAAGTTTCCTTGAAATTAAAACTAAGATTCATTCTTGATAAAATTTTCATAGTCATTTTTTCATCTTTTATTTAACTCTCAATTTAATTCCGTTTTAGCACTTTTTCCAATATACTCAATATATATGTATATATACATATGTATATGTATATGTACATTTAAATACTTAATAATATATTTAAATAACTATTTTCTTTCAATACAAATTGATATAATATTATTTTATTGGTAAAAATATGTTTTTCAAATTTTTTGTTAGCTATTCTTGTTATATTTACTGAAATATATATTTCGATTTTAAAAAGAAATCAATAAGATATAGATTGCTATATTGATATATTGATGTACATATCGATATAACAAGTCTAAATAGATATTATTCTCTCAAATATATATATATATATATATATATATATATATATATTCATGTCTTTAAATAATAAACCGTTCATGTAAAACATTCTTAATACTCAAAAGTTTGACGCAAATTAAAATTTAATTCGCCATGAATTGATTTGATAACTTTAACAATGACGTATCGACTCTTTTTTTATCTCGCTTTTTACTTATAATACTTTAGCTTAATGTACAATTGACGATTTTTATTAAGTAGATTCAATTGAAACATGGACTACAAATCGATGTTTCATTAAAATCTCGGTTCGTATTCAATTGAGAGATCATATTATATATAATTTAACAAAAAAAAAAATATATATATATATATATATATATATATATATATATACAGGGTGTCCCAGTTATCTTCCGTCATCTTTCAAAGACAGATTCCTGGGATCATTCGAAAATTATTAGTGCCTTGACATTTTCGCTGAGGAAAAATCGCCTTCAAATGATCCCAGGAATCTGTCTTTGAAAGATGACGGAATATAACTGGGACACCCTGTATATATATCAATATTTCATATAGAATTTCTTCCTATTAACAAGATTTCATATCAATTTGTTTTTCATTTTTTTTTTCTCTGCTCTATGCCGTTGAATGATTAAGAGGAATAATGCATGATCGCATGCGACAATGTGGCATGTTCAATGTGCTAAAAGGAAAAAAATCATGATATAGTCACGACTTATTGAGACGGATAAATTTCTCTCCCGCTCGCTCTCTCTCTCTCTCCCTCTCTCTTTTAGGACGCAGCTCTTCCTCAGATGATTACGCATTTTACGTAACATGCAATGAGTAGGTGTCGACGATAGACCTTCGAAATAAAAAAAAGTGAGAGAAAAAAGGAGATAGATACGAAAGTGATATGAAAGAGGCCAACTTGGCACCAAAGTGTGCCGCGAGAAAGTTACTAAACATATGATTATGAACGCGTAAGAATCAATTGCACCAGACAGTAACGTAATACATAGTTAAATGGGAGGATGTAAACGATGTATTTGATTATAGATATCTTATTGACCGGATCTTGCCTTGCACTTTATTGCACATGTCTGTAATAATCTTCTAATATTCTCGTAACATACAAGAAAAAAAAAGATGAAAAAACACATAGTTATTATGAGAATATATGTAAAATATATGTAATAATCAAATCGCATTTTATTTTTTTGGTTCATGTTTTTATACGATAATACAGAATAAAAAAATGTAACATTAAAGTAATTTATACATTTATGTCATATTTACGCGTAATATTGTACTTAAATATAATAGATAAGTATTTAAAAATACGATTTTTTTCTTAATTAATATTGCATAAAAGAGTTCATATTACATAAAATGTTTTTATATTTGCAAAAAAAAAATTAAATGTAACAAAATTAAAAATAATGAAAAAAAAAAAATATCTATATTGATGAGTCCAAATCGAGCGTGTAATTTAAGCATTGTATTAATAAATCAATTTTTTATACCATATTCTTGTATACAAAATGCTTAAAAACACGCTCGTAAAACGTCAAATTGACAAATTTTCTGTCGCTGATAAATAAAGAAAATTTATTTTTGTTAGTTCTACCATAGTGAATTTTGAGTAACACGTTTAATAATTGGAGATAAAATTTGTTAATATTGAAATTTTTTTAATTTTAAAATAGACATAAGAAATAAACCACATTTTTATACAGAAAATCTAAATATTATTTAGGTAAGATTTGATGCAATGATTTTTGATAGGTTTACTTTATACAATCTCAATAAAAAAAGTAAATTAAAGAAATATTTGACAATCGAACTGTAACAGCCTTAAAAGTTATACTTATCTTTTCGTTAACTTAATATATTATTGTATACTATTTAATTATATACTATTTCTGCATCCAAATATTACTAAAAAATATTAATAATTGTAGAAATATTTTTCATCATCAGATTTAATCTTTCAACGAGATATTTCCAAAATAATATTCCTTGTGTATATTTACACTTTTTGTTTGATTCTGACAAACTCTATAATAAAAATTTATGAAAGCAATGTTTTGTGCAAGAGAAATGTCGAAATTTCTACAAGATTATTATGGCTTATAATTTAGCTTTATAATTTTCTCTTCATCTTCCGCCTTGTGTATATCGACGTTATTTACTACACTAACTAATAACAATTTTCAAAAATGATAAATATGAAAAATATTTATTTACTTCTAAAAAAATAAGAAGATTCAAAAAGAAAACGTAAAATATTATAATTTAAATATATTAAATCATTCAAAAAGTTTCTACTTATAAATATGAAAAACATTAGCGTTTATTTTATTCGTTTATTTATTTCTATAAATATCATCAAATAAATAAATACATTAATCATTTATATATGTATACAGGGTGTTTCATAAGTGGTGGGCAAAATTTCAGGAATGGATTCCTCATGCTTAGAGAAGAAAAAAAGTTAATAATCAACATAGGTTCGGAAATTATTAGTTTTTGAGTTATTAAGATTTTTGTAAAATTTTATCTCATTTCTCGTCTTAGAAGTTTCCAAGTTTTTCAAGTTCGGCAACATTGTTGATGCCTGTAAAAGGACTTCTAAGACGAGAAATGAGACAAAATTTTGTATTACAAAAATCTTAATAACTCAATAACTAATCATTTCCGGATCTATGTTGATTAACTTTTTTTCTTCTCTAAGCATGAGGAATCCACTCCTGAAATTTTGCCCACTACTTATGAAATACCATATATATATAATTTATGACATTAAAATATACATGTTACTTATCATTTATCAGACATGAATTAAGAATGCTATTGTGTAAATCCTGAATTATTTGTTTCATTTGGCTGAAAGAGACAAATGCTAAATTTCTGCAACGCAACTAAATGAGATAAATAATTCAGGATTTATATAATAGAATTTTTAATTCATCATATGTTTGATTTATAAGTAACAGGTATATCTTGACGTTATAAATTATTTATAACGTCAAGATATACATGTCATTTATTAATCAAATATATGCTGAATTGAAAATTCTTTTATGTAAATCCTGAATTATTTATCTCATTTAGTTGCGTTGCAGAAATTTAGCATTTGTTTCTTTCAGCGTAATATATATATATTACGTATCAAAATATAATTTATTTTTCCTAGTTGTCATTCGATGATTGATAAAATTAATATATATATATATATATATATATATATATATATATGTACACACAATATATTATATAAATTATTATATTTTTTATTTCAATATGCTAAACACAGAGTTATTATTATTATTATTATATCAAAATATTCGTGAGAGAATTTTAATAATATTTTCATTAGCTTGCCATATTTATTTTATCCATTTATCTATCTATATAAGTATATAAAATGAAATATCTTCATCAAATTACAGTCGTTAATCACTGTAATATAAACTTGTGGATTATTGTTGCACAAAAAAAAGATTGATTTTAAAAGATAAATATCGCAAAAGAGATACATATTTGTCTAACAAAATTAAAAATCTACAAAATGATTAAATAAGATTAATCAGTCTATAATTTTTTTATTTCTGTTTATTTCTTTTCGTTGTTTATTCATTAGTTTTATCAATCATCGAATGACAAGTAGGAAAAAATTAATTATATTTTGATACTTAATAGCTCGTAAAAAATTGTCCTACATAACATGTATTTTAAATTTTAAATTATCTGAAGAGCAAGGTTAATTCTGAGAAAAAAAAAGTGAGATTAATTTGCATATTGTGCGTAATACATGGCTAATCGCATTGTAAAGCGATTATTTGTTCATGAATTATGATACGTTATCGGAATGTTATCAATTCGAATTTTTTATCAAATTTACTGTCGATCAAGTTGATTTGAATGTGATGTTTGAAAATTTACATATTAACTTACTTTATAACCTAACTTACACAATGCAATATCTCATAATATTAAATTAATTTTAATATTGTAATGTTTTTTATTAGTACAGTATTATAACAGTATTATTAGAAATCGTGGATTAGGCTGATAAATATTTAACATTTCAATAATTACTATCAACATTGCAAATGTCGATCGTGCAAATATTATAAATCATTAATGCAAAACATATTATTAGTAATTAGTATGTATAAATGATGTATAAATGATGTATAAATATAAATATATATATAAATAGATAAATATATAAATAATATAAATAAATTTATTAAAATCTAAAAGATAAAGAGATTTAACACGTCACAGTGTTTCGTGACTTGAAAGTGCAAAGAGCAAAGAAATATCCTTCATTTAAAAAATCCTTCATTTAAAATTATAGCGCGAATTCAGTCGATGTGCACTTTATGGATTTCAAATAATTTTACGTTATACTTATGGAGTTCACAATTATATGAATACAAACTGTATTCGCTTCTTATCGCAATTTATATAGTTAATTATACGATAAAGTTAGATAACAAAGATAATTACTATAATAACTTAATGTCGCTAATCAAATAATCCAAGGATCGTTGAAAAAAGTGTAGTCGACCAAACTAGCCAGAAATTTTGTTTATTAATACGACGTTTCGACCATATGGTTGTGGTCCTTATCAAGTATATACTGGAAAAGATTTATAAATAAATTAAATAATTAATTTACGGTTTGAATAATATAACAAGCACAACGAATTAAAGTGTGAACAATTTTACCGATGTAATAATAATCAGGAGACAGGCATAGACGATAATCTTGCAAAACTGTACAAGTCACATTAACAAAAAACGTTATTTAATAATTCAGAATTAAACTGATTCCTGAGACTCGTAAGAAACTAAACACAACCAGAGGAAAAACGAAACTACGTGACCTTTATTATTTTGTCATAAATGTTGTTTAAACTATCCGTGTCTTTCTGTAGGTTGATTAGATTATTAAATCTCTTGATAAAGAACATCTCAGCGATCTCTCTCTTTCGAACATACTTTTCGCTATGCAAAATATTGGGTTTCGACCAGTCAGTAGTTTCGTTTTTCCTCTGGTTGTGTTTAGTTTCTTGACGAAGTCTCACACGGACACATCAGTTTCTCTCAAATTCGAATCTAGTTAAATAACGTTTTTTGTTAATGTGACTTGTACAGTTTTGCAAGATTATCGTCTATGCCTGTGTGTGTCTCCTGATTATTATTACATCGGTAAAATTATTCACACTTTAATTCGTTGTGCTTGTTATATTATTCAAACCGTAAATTAATTATTTAATTTATTTATAAATCTTTTCCAGTATATACTTGATAAGGACCACAACCATATTGTCGAAACGTCGTATTAATAAACAAAATTTCTGGCTAGTTTGATCGACTACACTTTTTTCAACGATCCTTGGAAAGATAATTACATTATTATCTTTTTATCGCTAATGTAATGTTGCAATTTGTGGCAAAACAAAATTTTGCAAAAAGCCATATCGATCGTGCTAATTATCAAAAGTTTCTCAACATTTTAAAATTATAAACAAAGAATAATGTTATCGCTCACGACAATGCCATACGTATTTACAAATTCACATTTCGATTGCAATGATTATGATCTAGAATCGTGAATTGTACAAAAAAAACGTTATTTGATAAGAATTTTGCTTATTAGAAATACGTGTCATTTTTTAATATTCAATACTAAACAAAATTAAACGCGCAAAGTTTGGAAAATGGATGACATGTTTCGCAAAGATATTACGTAACAATTTTTTTTCCATAGTTATTCATTGACTTTATTTATAGTAAAACTCTATTTGGCGATAGATTAATTTTTAATTAGTTATCTTAAGGTCGTGACATACGATGCAATTTTTCGCGTTGAATCATACGCGAAGTGTATTATTAGCGATCATGCTGCTATGCGTGTTAGCATGCTGATTTTTGATAATAGGTCCGGTGCTATTTTTCTTGCGTGTTTTATTGTTGAACGACTACAGTAAGGAAAACATTCCCTCATATATTATCTATTATGAAAAAAGAATTGATGAAATTTCGTTTTCAAATTTTTATGAAACTTCGTAGGTCAAATCAAATATAGCGGCGCTCCTGTCACAGCAGCATGCAGAGCAAAAAACAAGACAGCGCACAATGAATCTGTTAACAAAACTAGCACAAAAACTAGCACGGGCTTTAATTAGTTCTCATAAAAATGCATGTCATACGAATTGTTAGAAACTTATGTACGTAACTGGTCATGCAGACACACTTTCTCTTAATTCTTTCGTAAGCAAATTCTTCGAATGGATCTTTCTCATTGCTCAATTTCAGATAATATTGGTCAAAATTTTAAATAATCACATAAATACATAATCATAAACAAACAACAGTTCAACTCTTAACGTATATCGATAATTTTTTTAGATATTATTTAGGCGAATTTCGTTGGCTACAGAGAAAAATATCATTCTATTGCCAAAATAGCGATTACTCAATTTATTTTTCCTTTTTTTAAGTAATAGTTTTCTTCAATAAAGAATTCTTGATAATAGTCTTAGAATATACTCATCACAAGTGTTAGAAAATTTCATTATCATGTACTCAAAAGAAGAAATTATTTTCTCTTTAAGAATATTGTAGTTGTATCAAAGAAAAATCAAACTTACTTTGTGGTAAGCAAATCAAATTTTTGTTTTAATTTAATATTCTTGACTGAAATACTTCACTTACTAAAATTCAGAATATATTCAATTAAATTTAATGTTTGTGGTGAACTTATAATATATTTGCGGATATACAAACTTATGATATACTTAAAATAAATAATATTTACTTGAATACAGTATACATTTTTCTCTGTGTAGTTGTAAAATCTACGAGTTTCGTTGTCTAAACGCGAAGGATTAAACTTTGTATTATACACTAAGGGAAAAATTTTTTTAAATCAAATAAATTTGTTTCCTTAAAACTTTTACTTTAAATGGAAGGAATTGTTTATTTCATTTAAGCAAAATCATTTAATTTTAATTAAATATGCATGCTATATTAAGTACATTATTTTCATTTATTGTATATTTTTTATATATCATTTATATATTTAAATATTATTTTCGTAAAATATATACTATAATTTATTAAATTAAATATATTATTTTTTAAAATTAAAAAATTTAAAATTTTTGGGAATAAAAAATGCATTTTAATAAATATTTTGTAAAATTAAAATAAAAATATTTATTTAAAAATATTTATTTAAAAATTATATTTTTTTAAGTATATATATATTTTTTTAAACATTTGTAAATAAATACTTAACTTAAACAGACATTTTGAATACAAGTAAATACGTGATTAGTACTATTTTTTTATTTCAAGATAATTTTTTCCTCCAGTGTAAGAACTCACATTCGATCGAACGTAATCGAAGAACGAGACGTTTATCATTCATCTAGAGTTAGCATGCGATCAAAGCGTGTATTCTACATTTACATGGTATAATTTGTGTTTTTCCGACTGTGCTCGTAATCATTTCGATTAATCTGAGTGCATATGAGCACTCGTGGCATTCCCATTCGAAGAGATTTGCTTACATTGAAAAAAAATTTTATGAGATGCATTTAATAATGCATCTAACAGATTTACCTAGAATTCTTTTTTCAGTGTAAATATTTGAATAACTAACTGGAATGCGCTGTGGAGTCCGAAAGCAAAAGCAAGCATAGTTAGATTTTCAATAATCCATGTGGAAACTGCGTGTATATATTGTTTATATTTTTATTTACTAATGGAAACGATCCGCGAGAAATATCATCTAATCTTTCGCAATGCGAGACAAATATCCACACAAAAATTTACGACTAATCTTACAAATAAACAAATTGATTTTACAGAAGCAGAACGGATTGTTGAATATTTGCATACAATTTATCACGATTTAATTAGTTTTTAAACGATTAAGTGGAGGAAAATTAGAGATTCGAAAACATACATTGACTAATATTGATGTGTCATATTTTATATGAAAATTGATAATTATTCTTTATCAGGATCCGTTCTCAGAAAATGATTTTAATCGATAAAATGTAATGAAATCATGATTTAAATCGATAAAATGTAAAATCAATTTTTACGCAGCTCTCTTCCTGAAAGAGTATCGTAAATCGCGATACTGAAATTGGCGCAGTATGTACTGAAGGATTAAGGTTCCATTAAGGTTCAATTAAGGTTGATTTAAATCTTTCGATATTTTCGAATCTTTCGATTACATCTTGCGATATTTTTTTAGGACAAAATATATTTTAAAAAAGTAATTGTCAATTTTCTTACATTTAACCGCAAGGATTCCAAGTATTAAATGCTCCTAAATACGGAGAAATAGCGATGCTTTTACATATATATATATATATATATATATATATATATATATATATGTATATATTCAGAATAGAAAAGAATTTCATAGAAAAATATTGCAAAATCCGAGAAGCATTGAATTTATATGTTCTGTATAAAATACAAACTCTCTCTTTCTCTTTGACTAATGTTTTTTTGGACGTGTGTTTCACTAACTTTCGCATAGAGTTGCAATGATGCGTCATACACATTATTATATTCATAAAGTTTCAACTTTGAAAATAGAATCCGTTTAAAAATAGAATGTTATTTTTAGAGTGAAGTGCTTTGGGCGGTATTTATTTAGTGATTAATGTTTTCGATGTTGATTATTAAAATATAAAAGTAATATAAAAATATTCTCAGAAGAGAGAATTTTTGTTCAAGCGATTTATCATTTTATACAAAATTTAGATACAATTTTCAATCAAATACAATCGAATCTCATTTAAGTGAATATTTAACTGATATTAAATCATTGAACATTTATATTGAGAATAAAAGAATTAAGACATCAATAAGATCACATACGGATTATTGTCTTCATAATTGTTATATATTCTCAGTCAATAGCATATTTTTTATTTTCCCGGAGAGAAATATAAAATTCGTCGATTTAATTAATGTGATGAGATTGTGCGGCAACGCGGCACCTTCATTTTCAATGCGGTTAACGAATCAATGACAGTTCAAAAACATGCTGCTTAACGTAAGAGAGAAAGCGTCGAATGAATGCTCAAGTCGTCAGTAGCGAGACTCGACGATTACAACGAAAGTAAATTATTTTTATTTAAACCATAAAGTTACATATATTCTAGCTTTATATAGAATATGTTAATTGAATCGTTACATTATGCGGTGATTGCAAACGCGGACAAGAAAATGATTGAGTAATATTAATTCATTGACATATACTTTATTAAACATTATATACGAATTATTTACAATTTTAAATTATTCTTACTTTTATTATCATAATTATTATTACCTTTTTATCTTCCTTTCATATAAAGTTTTTATGCACTTGTTTATACAGGATCATGTTTGCAAATATGTGAGATAAAAAAGAAAATAATAATATGGAACGTTCACATTTTTTATGTATAATCGTCTTGCTTCTTTAATTGCCTCTATAATTGTAATAACCACAATTATTCAGAAAAGATAGGAAAGATAATTTCTGCGTCACTTATCCTTGAGAGAAACATTAACTCTGCGGATCCGCTTTGCGTAATGCAATAATTGTTAGATTTAGAATTTATTAGAATTTTTAAATTGTGCAAAAGGAATAAAAAAAATAAACAGAGTAAGAAATAAGATAAAATGTATTATTACAAAATTAGAGATATAAGAGATATGATTTTTATATATTTAAATATAATATAATATATTTAATATATTTACATATTTACATGTGCGTGTGCTAAATATTTATTTCTGATTACGTCAATTTTAATACAAATTTATTATAATTCTGATACGAATCATTCTCTACAATTTTATTCGAATCATTTTATTCTCTACAATTTTACTCGAGTCTTATTGCATATGCAAGTTAATTAATCAAGTTTATTAATCAGTGCAAGTTAATTAATCAGTGCAAGTTAATTAATCAGTTTATTAATCAAATTCTTTTCACGATTATTCTCTAATTTTTCACCTTCAAGGGTAACGAGGTGACACACGTGGATAATGTATGAAGAAATTGACTCATCTAAGATTTCGTATGAATTATTAGATCGATTAGAGAGGATCGGGTGGCGACTTTCCTGATTAGGAAGAGGGAGAAGATGGATGGACGGTACGTGTGTGCGTGTATGTGGAATAAATCAATGTTGTTTATCGTTAACCTGGAGAACGCCGGTGTTCGGCGAGCGTCGTCCAGCACAATGGGGCCTCGCGAAAACGAAGTCACGTTCCTCGAACTCGAACGAGTTCGACGGAATTCATCGCGGCACCGATCGAAAAAGCGGTTTTCCCCGTTTCGGCATTCCTGGTCACTTGTACGGGATCTCTCTCGACGGGGTGGATCGATCGCGGATGCGTCACTTAACCTCAAAACGCGCTCGCCCGGACGCCGGTACACGCGGACACGCACGGACGATCACACGCGGGGATTGTCACACCCACCTGCTATTTCTCGTCCTCTTCCTCAGCCTGCCGCGATGTTCCTCCTCCTCCCTGTCCACTCCGATTCGACCCCTCGTTCTCGAGCACCACGCAGCCGGCAGCAGCTCGTCGGCGACTATGTAACCTCGCAGCGACAACAATGACAGCAGCGATACTGCACGGTTATCCTCGTCTCTCCTCCTGTCACCTGAGCGCGCACATAAACGCGCGGCACGCGACGCACCACCTTCCGCGCTCGAGAACGGCAAGCGCGGAGGCAACAACCTCGGGAGCTCCTCCTGTTCTTCCGTGATCGTCGTTACTTCCCCTCGGCGGTCGGTCGGCTTCCTTCCTTCCTTCCCGCGCGATGAAGTGCGCTACGAGCGAGCCGACGATCTGCGAGCGAGTAACGCGAGAAGCGCGTAATGCCGTCACTTCGCGCCGTCGTGGCTCGGTAAGCTCGAATAAGGATCGTCCCGCGTCGATCGCGAGTTTTCTCGTCGCCGTCGAGCGACAGTGCCTTTTTCTTCTTCCTCCTCTCCCGGCGACGGACGTGCGAAAGAGGGAGGCGCGGCCTCGAACAAAAGGGACGGAGGAGAAAAAAAAATTGGAGAAACTGGCGCCGCTGCCAAGCTAGCACGCGGTCGAGCGATGGACGGTCCACGCCTTTTGACACTCCGACGTTCCGTTGCCGCCGACGAGTTCCTCGTCTATGCCGCGTGCCGCTGCTCGCTCGTCCACCGGCTGAAGATAGTCGATTCGCCTTCCCCCTCTCCCGCCGCCCCTGACCGCCGCCCGTGTCCCTCCACCCGCGCGCTACTATCGCCGTCTCCGTCTACGCCTTGTCCGCTTCCACGAATGTCTACGCGCAGAATCCCGTCTACATCCTCTCCCCCTCTCGTCCTCGCGCACTTCCGCACCGGCTCGTCTTTTCTCGCGTCACCGCTCTTTTTATCTCCTTCTCTTCCCCTGTCACGCGACGTTCGTTCGAAAGAGGGCTTGGTCCTCTCTCGTATTTAACCGCGATACAATTGCCGGATTGATAATCTGTAAACGCGCGTACAGAAATGAAAGAGGAAGTCACGAGGACGGGGGACGGGGGGAGGGGCGACAGGGGCGAGAAGCCGGCAAGGCGCGCCGCTAATGAGGCGCCATCTTGCGGTGCGCGATTCAATCCTCGATCTCGCGTGCGAAACGCAAAGTGTGTAAAATTTGCCTAATTTAGGAGAGCATGTATCTCGTGCGCTGCTCTTTTCTATATTTAACTATTAATTTAGGTAACTTTACATGCTGTTTAATGAGATTCGTTTGTTTATTATATCTCGGATTTACTTGTGTTACAATTTGTTTTCTGCTTCAACTATATTCCCTTGAAAAAGAGAGTTAGCTATAATTTAGAACGTTATATTTTAAATATGTAACTTCAAATATGGTATAAATTGTAATATTTGTGATTTTTATCCAGTTGTATATAAATATGTTACAATTTTGAGTTTTTTCAAAGAATGTAAAAACTTTTTCATATATAACATGTCATTATTAACACATCATATATAATTAACATATAATTAATTATTAACATGAAACAAGTGCAAGCAATATATATCAGTTCTGACATATTCATCTATTTACTCATTATCATTTACTCATTATCGATTTCTGCTTTTTTACAATTTATTTAATTTATATTATTAATTAATTTAGAGAAGAAAAGCATTTAATTTATATTATTAATTAATTTAGAGAAAAAAAGCATAAATGAAATATTAATGTAGATTATAATATTAATAAATATTAATAAATATTAATGAAGATATCTCATATGATAAATGAAATATTTCGAGTACAAAAAATATTCGGGGTAAAGATGTCTGCCCGTTACATTGCAATTACATAATGAAACTTATAAAACTCTTGCGAAAGATATATACATATATATATATACTATTGGACAAAATTGATGCATAATTTTTTTTCGCTTTTTCTTTAAAAGCTGATATTTAAATTTTAACGAAAAATTTAAATTTTAAATTGTAAAGAAAAAGTGAAAAAAATTACGTGTTAATTTTACAAATATTGGAAAAAGCTCTCTTAAATTTAATAATAAAATGGAAGAACATAGGCAATAGAGAGCATGTAAATAAATAAATTATTAAAGATCAAGTAAAAATAATAATAATTTAATAAAGTAAACTATGTTAAACTGTGTTAATTTTGTCCAGAAGCATATTATTAAAAATAAATAAGTAAATACACAAATATGTCGTTACTTATGGAACTGACAAAGAAAATTTTAATTAATTAAAAACATCAATTTTTTTAATTATGCAAGAGAAAACTTGTGTGTTTCATATATATATATATATATATATATATATATATATATATATATATATGTTTGTGTCAGAAATCTCTCCAAAATTTTTGAACCGACTAATTATGATATCTTTACTTTATTGAATCAAATTTTTTCTTTTTCTTTTATTCGTTTAATTATTATCTCAAAGCATTATGTTTCATATGTTTCGTAGTTATATATTCGTTTATCACATATATTATTTGCCGATTATATTATCGTTATATGTACCTAGTTGTTGAATTTTAAGTTAGCTAAATTGAAATGAATATTTCAAGACATAAAAATCTTTTATTTTCCAAGAATCTAAGATTGAATGGATTTAAATAATTTAAATAATTCGTTCAATTATTATCTCAAAGTATTATGGGTGTTTCATATGTTTCGTAGTTATATATTCGTTTATCACATATATTATTTGCCGAATATCGTTATATGTACCTAGTTGTTGAATTTTAAGTTAGCTAAATTGAAATGAATATTTCAAGACATAAAAATCTTTTATTTTCCAAGAATCTAAGATTAAATGGATTTAAATAATTTTACATGAACAGTGATATGTTATATCTATTTCATCTTCTATTAATATATTTTTTACAATTTAGAATATAATGTCTCTCTTATACATACAATTATAAAAATATTCTATAGTTAAGATTCATCCCACAAATTTCGAGTTTAATTTAAATCACTTTATATCACTATATTTGTGTTTTTAATACGCTTGAGTACAAATTAAATTTCAAAATCTGTTTAAAAATTTTTGAAACATTTTTGATGCATAGAAACACATGAAGAGGAAGAATTTTTCCTTATATAATTAAATAAAATTAAATAAAACTCGCGTTTTTAATGAATCAAAATTAATTAAATATTTTATTAAAACTAAAATTATTAAAAATTTTATTATTAAAAATTTATTATTAAATTACATTTATTATTAAATACGTTTATTATTAAAAATTCAGAGGAAGTTGACAATAGTAAGAAAAATTAATTATCGATTATCGAGATTAAAAATCGATTGCATTTAAATGTGGAGATTATCGAGTCGAATCATGCGATTCTCGTATTAGATTCTTTATATGCGTCGTGGCGTTACCTTTACCAGCGACTCTCATACAAGTTCGTCGCGTCAAGTTCGGCATGAAATCGAGAGAAGAAAGTGAAATAAGTGGACCGGAATGAGCGCGCGATTCCGGCTACGAAAAGAGCGGTACCGCTGGTTCCTACGTAATAGTCTTCTTATGTGAAATGTTACGCAAGTTGCGATGTGTGTCGATGGTGTATTGGTTGTAGCGGTGGTCAGCGAAAGCGATCTTTACTGTGGTCCTTTACAAATAGCCGCGGGCAATAATGGTTGTGGATTATCTCCATAAAAATCGATTTTCTCAAAAATCTTTCGGCTCAGCAGTTCCTAACATCTGGCGAATATCTTTTTACGATTACCTGATTCAAAGTGCGCACATATATATGGATATATCAAACTGATCCCTGAACTGCGGAAAATAAAATAAAAAAAAACAGCAGAAATATATCAAATATATATATATATATATATATATATATATATATATCATATATTACATGCATTTAAAATATGAATAGATATATACGAGAAGATGATATGATTTTACCTGCTGATTACATCATTTTTTTCCTCGTTTTTTCACGTTTTCATTTTAAAATATTTCGGGGCAATTTGCAGACTTGATGTGCGTTCTTCTTAATTGTATGTATAATTTTCTTTTGCACATGTCTTTGCTATATATCTACTCTATTATGTATACTATAACAATCCTATTTTTTAAAGCTCTTTTTCAGATAGATTAATGTTGTTGAGATTAATGGGAAACCTTTCATTTTAAGATATTTCAAAGTACTTTGCAGACTTGATGCATTCTTCTTATTTATTGCGCATTGATAAACTTGCGTACATATCAATATTTGCTTAGATCTTATCTATTATAAAAATTAATGAATGTGACATACGCGTCATTTCGTTGAATTTTAATTTCGACTTTGGAGAAGTTGAATCGTCGCAAACGTCATATATCATAGATGATAGGTGTACCTTATACTGTCAATATTTTCGATGATGTAATAAAATTTTTAACGATTCCAGGAAACAGCAGTGCAAACAGCAAGAGCACAATATATGAATACATATATTTTTTTCTCAATATTAGTCTCTCTAAAATTTTAAAATTAATATTGTTTATAGTATGTAAAAAAAAATAATATGTAAATTATCGCTTTTTTTCGTAATAATTTTATCATAAAAACGCTACGTCTCATATTTTATTCTATTTTTCACTTTTTACTATACTTGATTAATAATGTTTATTGACATTTGTAGTTAATAATGAGATGTCTGAATGATGATTTAAAAGATAGCCTTCGAATTTTTCGGAAGTTATTACGCGCATTTCTATCAATGTGCAAATAATCAAATGTAAATTCAATTTTTCGCTTGCATAAAATTTCATTATATTCGTATAGTAGTGCGATTGCGCGATCAATAATGAGATATTTAGATAATGAATGATCTTGACACATACTAGACACAAATGCATTTCTTAGACTCACTCTAATACGTTAAACAATAATCTACATAAAGTTTATAAAGATTATTATAAAGATTATTTCTTTGCATTCTTTCGAGAACTTGTTAAAATTTTTTAGTATATCATTAGAACTTTTTAGTAATCATGATATTGTGTATATATAAGTATATATGTATGTATGTGTATGCATATATATACAGGGTCTACCAAAAGTGTGGAAACCCCTAAATATCTCGGAAAATATACGTTTTACAGAAAAGTGTTTCCAACAAAAGTTGTAGGGTTTAAGAAGATCTATATACTGATTCTATCAGTTTGACCTTGGATGGCGTCGTCAAGGTCAGGTCAAGGTCACATTGACTTTTTTAAATGACACCCCCTACATTTGATTGCATATTCTTATAGCTTAATTCAAGAGCTTTCCAAAACACTATAATAATGTTCATTTTTATTAAGTACTTTGCGAGTTATGAGGGTTGAAATAATTTCTTAATTTTACATAAACCATAAAATATCTAGTAAACCATTCATTTTTCGATTATCTTACCTTCATACTTTTATGTACAAATTAATGAGAGGAATCAATTGGTGTAAAGAAAACACATAGTTGTTTCTAAGAAAAAATATGTAATTTGCAATTAACAATTCCATATTTTTTCTTAAAAACAACTGTATGTTTTCTTTACACCAATTGATTCCTTTCATTATTTTGTACATAAAAGTATGAAGGTAAGATAATCGAAAAATGAATGGTTTACTAGATATTTTATGGTTTATGTAAAATTAAGAAATTATTTCAACCCTCATAACTCGCAAAGTACTTAATAAAAATGAACATTATTATAGTGTTTTGGAAAGCTCTTGAATTAAGCTATAAGAATATGCAATCAAATGTAGGGGGTGTCATTTAAAAAAGTCAATGTGACCTTGACCTGACCTTGACGACGCCATCCAAGGTCAAACTGATAGAATCAGTATATAGATCTTCTTAAACCCTACAACTTTTGTTGGAAACACTTTTCTGTAAAACGTATATTTTCCGAGATATTTAGGGGTTTCCACACTTTTGGTAGACCCTGTATATATACATGCATTGCGCGCAGACTAAAGTAG